CCCGGGGCCCCGCCGAGATCCCCCCCGGAGCTTGGCTCTCGGAGCCGCGAAGCGTCGCCGGTGGCGGAGTCGTCCGTAGCCGAATAAAATCCTTCACGTCACCCCGTATCCGTGGGCGCGTTCGGGTCCCGACGCGTTGGCCCCGTAGCCCTGCGGCGTCCCTCCCCGCGGCCGCGTGGGCTGGTCCCAGGGTGGAGCTGGAGAGGAGAGCTCTTTATTTTTTGGGAACGGGCTGGTTCAGGTTGGAAACCCTCAAATCCCTACGTTGGCGTGAGTCTCAGCTCTTGTAGCTTTCCGTAACGTTTCCTGAGGGATTTAACCTTAAATCTGGGGAGGACGGCGAGCGCCTGACTCGGTGCTTCACGCGGAGCCGCTCCGGCTGTCATTGGAAAAGGGCTCAGCACCAACAAGCTCAACTCGGCACGTTCCCTGCACTCCTGCTCTCCACCACTGCCGGGAGAAGTTTACGCAGCCAGTGAGAGTTTGGCCCGACCCAGTTGCTTCCCTGCTGAGAGCGACCTGAGCCAGTTCGGTGTGCTGGGACACGGGGAGAAGCTGGAAATGCTTCACCTGTGACTTTGGAAAACCCCCTGAGTTCGGTGGCCGCCGTTCCCGGGCCGGCTGTGCCCTCTAGGGGACACTCCTCTGCTTTTTTCTGTATTTTTCCCACTAACATGGAAATTGTATTTTAAAAGCTGTCTTTTGCAGTATTCGAGGCTGGTTTTCCAGTATCCGAAATACCGTTTGACCTGCCCTGAGTGTTCACTGGAGGGATGTGTTTCACAAAAAGACCATCGGGGTACGCAGCTGTCAGTGCTGCTACTCGGTGTGAATGTCCTTTGCACCACTAAATAAGATGATAAGGACTGATTTCCGTTAATCGTGGAATTGCTGAGAAACGTGGTATATCAGTTAAGTCTAGAAATTGTTGTTTAGTCTAGGAGGTAATTGCCTGGTGTTTTAAAGAACAAGGCTCATGTGCCACATCTCTTGTTCGTGGATAGTCCAAGCCACGCTTGTGTATCTGCTTCATCGTGCTTGGCACAGATTCTTTATGGGTTTTGTTTAATGCATAACTGTGAGCCAGAAGGTTCCCACTCTGAACTCATTGCTCCTGCATCTGGCTTTGGGTTAAAAGAAAAAGAAAAACACCTACTTGTGTTACGTTCTCCTAAAATTCTTCCTGTTGGCCCCTTCTCAAGGGCTGTCATTTCCTGGGCAGTGCAGGAGACTTTGCTGTCCCGACCCCGCGCAGCCCCTGCTAAACCTCTCAGCAGTCACCTGCTGCAAACCTTGCTCTGAAATACTCAAGCTTTGGAGTTTGAAATCCCAAATCCTGGACCCAAAGGTGATCTGATTGTTTCTAGCAGAACTGCCCAGGGAACGGTGACCTGCAGCAGAGGAGCAGCTGATGGTGTCTTGTCACATCCCGTCATCTCCATCCCTTTTGGTTCGAATAGCTAAAATTCTCTTCTCGTGTGATAATCGTAGGTGACGGAGTCGAGAGGTGATTTGTGTCGGGAATTGAGGTGGAATGTGCAGCCATCACTGATCATAGAATGGCTAGGGTTGGAAGGGACCTCAAAGATCATCTAGTTCCCACCCCTCCCCTACACCAGGTTTCCCAAAGCCTCATCCAACCTGGCCTTGAACACTTCCAGGGATGGGGCAGCCACAGCTTCTCTGGGCAGCCTGATCCAGTGCCTGAGCACCCTCAGAGTGATCGTCAAAACTAAATAAAGAGTTAAAATCAGTGTAAGTCTGGACGTGTTCCAGTGGTTTTCGGTGAAGTTGTGTGGATGTGCCTGTCTGTGTTGAGGCCGTTACAGGATTCCCCTGTTGATTCTTTCCTGCTATTTAGTAGTGTTGGTGTAAGAAGAAAATAATGCCATAAAGTACGTAAATGTGGGTAAGTGAGTGGGTTTCCTTGGGATTCAGTGACTCGGGTGGGAAAAAGTCACCACTCACAAATATTTGCATTAGGGAAGGAAAAGGAAAAGCGGGGTATGATTTTTGCCTTTCAGCACGCTAAGGAGAAGCAGCAAGTGACCTGTTTGTCCCAGGATTAGGGGCGGGATGTGGCCTTCCCGTGGTGCAAACAGAGCCCTGGAGACCCTCCGTGTCTTCTAAGGGGGGAGCAGCGGCTGATGGAAAGGCTTCTAATTGAAGGAATTCACCATTGTGATGTGTTGTGGCTGCAGCTTATCTCCTGGCATGCTTCTGTCCTGGGAGGCTTAATATCCGCAGGGAGCGCAGAAATGGATTGAGCTGGGCCATCTCGGGTTGGTTCAGAACTTGGGAGATGTGGGATTCATCTAGCAGAAGGTTGTAAATAACGTTGCTTTGCAGCGTGAAGTAGTTGTTTGCTTTTTGTTAACTCCTTCTCTGTGTTTTCCTTCTGATTCGCAGTGAAGTCAAGAGAGAAAAGAGAGTCCCCTCGCCAGACGTTATAGTGTTATCCGACAACGAGCCCTCCAGCCCCAGGATGAATGGTTTGACAAAAATAGCCTTGAAAGAGACCAACACGGAGGCGCTCATGGTGAGTGGGCTCGTCTTCACGCGCGTGAAGTCGTGCCGTCCCGTCCCGAAAGGAGAAAACACGCTGCTTGTGCCCAGGGGGCTCCTTCGGTCGCAGGGTCGGGTGGAGACGTGCTTTCATGAAGATGGATTCGCAAGCGAGGAATGTCGAAGCTGTTAAAAGCTGCTGTCCTCTTTTATTTATTTTTTTTTTTCAGACTCTGACCTTCTTGATTTTTATATGCATAAAAAGTGCATCTTTCCCAGAACTGGCTTTTTAGTGGATGCAATGTCCCTTATTCGGCATGGCATGACACAGATTTGTTGCCTGACTCTTCATTTGACTTGGAGATATTTTCCCTAGCAAAACAAGTAAAAACTTTTTCTTTTTCATCGAGTTCTTTCTCCATACTCACTTTGTGTCCGTATATTGCAGGCGTGTCAGTGATACCAAGACCTACATGACAATTACAACGCTGTAAGTTCTTGTTGTAACTTGTTACGTATCTGTCTCTTCCCTCTCCCTGTTTTCCCACCCTCTCTCGCCTTACCTGACCCTGCAGAAAAGCAGTCCGGAGGAACGGGAGAGAATGATAAAACAACTAAAAGAAGAGTTACGGTTAGAAGAAGCAAAACTTGTTTTACTGAAAAAGTTACGGCAAAGTCAAATCCAGAAGGAGACCACTACTCAGAAGGTATTTATTTTCCTGCAGATACTTAACATCTCATCTTTTGAAATGGAAGGGAAAAAATCCGAATAACTGCAGTGGTTGCCATGACCTGTGGAACGTAAGGTAGCCCGCAAATAAGGCATATCTCACTTTTCATAAAATCTTTGTGAAGTTTGTAGTGGCTTATCCCGTTAGCGGCTCCTTTTTGTGGAATTCCGTTTTTTTGGTCTTTGCTAAGACCAAACAAGGCAGTTTATCCTGTCAACTGTATTCAAAAGCCGAAGACCTTTTAATTAAAACTCAGATGCATTTATGAACGTAATACACTTCCAATTAGTAAACACTCCTGTCTGGTCCTCAGTGCCACGTAGATATTGCTGAGATACTTTTGGAGGAGATGCTTGCACGTGACCAAGGTGCTGACTGGTGGAGCTGCGGTGTTTGAGCCCCAGGCTCTGGGGGCTGACCCAGGGGAAGCCAGTCTGCGGTTCACTGCGCGCTTCCCATCATCCAGGGGAAAATCCAGGCAGTCCTTGGAAGGAGCGGTTCGGCCCTCCCGCTCTGCACTCCCTTCCCTTCCTCCTCTTTTCTGCCCACCTCTCGGGCTCACACAACCACGCACGATTTCCGGAGTGCTGGGAGGAGAACTGTTTTAATCAGAAACTTTAACCCAGAAAAAAAAAGTCTACCTTTTTGTCAGAGCGCTTGCCCGCTCCGCTCGCTACGTGTGCCGTTCCTGCGGGCACCGAGGGGCGGAGGTGGAGGGTGGCAGGAGAAGAGCAGAGGAGGGTGGGAGGCGAGGGGGGGTGCGAACGCCCCATGCCCAGTGCCGTCGAGGCACTGGCTAAATTTCCAGTGTCTGTACCAATTACAGCGCGCGGTGCCGACTGGGTGGGTTTTGGGATGGGGCGATGTGTGGGTTTAAGGGCACTTCACGGTGCTGATGGATGTTAGCACAGCTCTCTTGGCCGGTTTTGGTTGGTTTACTGGCATCTTTCTCCCAGACTTCCGAGGGCTTCAGTAGATGGGATTAAATAATACAAGTACCCGCATCACTCAACTCGCTGCCGAGCATTGAGCTCTGGATGTTTGAACTAACTCGGGTGAAATGGCATAGCCTGAACTTCTCAACAGCTGAACTCTTTTTCCTAAACTTTTTTTCACTTTGCATTATGCTCGGTGCTGATTAGTTGAGGCTGGTAGTAACGGCGGATAAGACTGAAGGGGGCTCTAAGCTGAGGCTGCTGAAAGAGATTTCCACGTTGCTCTGGTTTTGGTGTATAGACTCTTATTTTCCTGGTTTAATCTTATCTATACTTACCTAATAATTTCTCCATTTAAATACGCATGTTGAGATGCTTGGAGGAAGAGAGGGATGGGGGAGGGGGAAAACCACAGTCTTTGAAGATTCTCTTACTGAGGCGCAAGGAGGTAAACGCTTTTGTTCCCTGAGCTTCTGTAATTCTGCTTTACACCCTTACACTCGTCTGCTTTCTTTCTGGTTTTTCCTCTTCCAGCCTGCTGGTTCCTCTGGGAGTGCTGTGGCCACCCCTCCGCCCTTGGTGCGGGGACCGCAGAGCGTTCCTGCTGGCAAGCCGTCCCTCCAGGTCAGTGGGGTGGGCCAGGCTGCCAGGCTTAGGGCACGGAGCAGAGGAGGAGGTGCACGGTACAGGAAAGACCAGTCCCATCACGTTAATGGCTTGGAGCCAGGTGGAATTTATTATTTATATTTTTTTAACTCCCGAAACCCCGCTGTAAGCTTTTTAAGAACGCTTGGGGTGGGAGATGAAAGCAGGATGTCACACGGAGGTAGCTCTCATAAGCTTGTTTCTCAGCGACTGCCCACCCTGATCCACTCTCCTGATAAAATACATCCGTACCAGTCCTAACGACCTTTGGCAAAGAGGATGCCATGGAGAGATGTCACAGAAATGTTGTGGCAGGCTGTTGCCATGCCCTCATGGGACTTACCTGTGCCCTCGGCATGATTAACCATAAGAGCCGAGTGAATCATAACGATTTTCTCTCCTGGCCCGGTGGCTGAGTGGCACATGGTGGTAGGAACGATCTTGGTTGAGGCTAAATTAAATGGAATGTTGGAAAGCCTTGGGGAAGAAAAAAAAAAAAGCAAGCAGAGGCAATTGACATCTGTCAACCTAATCTTTCTCTCGAGTCTAGCATCTTGTCGCACTTCTGGATTTAAAACATTTCTGGTTATCTACCTTGGGCTGATTCAAAACTAATTTCAAAACTGCTTCAGCACAAAACGTTTTCACTTGGAAAACGGCAACTCTTTGTTTCAAAATCCCCCCGAATGCCATACTCCAGGGAAGGGGTAAATTTGCCATCCGTTTAGGAAACGTTCACAAAACCTAGAGCAATCTGTCAGTTGGAGTAATCTCTTCCTCGAGGCAAGTTGCCTTCACTGAAGACAGCACTTTCAGAGGAACTGGGCCACGAGTTCAATCTTCAGCGAACAGACAACGAGACTTCGGTTGGCCAGAGCAGAGAGCTGGGAGCTGAGAATCCAGGATTGGAGTGATTCTGTCTAATCTGCGGGGTTGGGGCCGGTTAACCTGACCTCCATCTGCTTTTGCTTGACTGTAAAAACTCTACTAATTCCTGTGGGTAGGAGTGGAGTCACCATTTGGTCTTCCTTGGTTTCTGAGTGCTTCTGGGGGTCGGTTCCGTAGCGTTAGTGGTCTGCAGGAATGTAAGTGGTGCGTGAAACCATCCCACCTTTTATAGCATCAGGAGAAATGTTGAGGATTTAATGCAGTCTGCAGCCCAAAAAGCATGGGCGGCAATTTTTCAAATGTCTTTAGCCTGACTTCTTTTATTTTTCATTTTTTCTAAAGCTTTCCCCTTTTCCTGTCTTTTTTTTTTCCTTCTCTCACACACACATGCCCGGTCTGCTCACCTCCCAACGTTCCTGCATCTCCAACTTGTCCGCCCCGCACTTCTCCTTGAAGACAGCAGTTCATATCTCCCCATTCTCTGACTCCCCCTCCAACAAACACTTTTTTTTCCCCTTTTTTTTTGCACTCTAACTGCACCAAAGCCAGCCCAGCCATCACCTTGTCCTGCAGTCATTCCGTGGGCTCGAGACAGCGCATCCGTCGCGTCAGCCGGCGCGGAGAGCGGCTCTCGCGTGCCGCTGCTCCCGGCCGCGGGTTATGGCGTGTGGCCGGCGCGTCTCGGCACAGCAGCTCTTCAGCAGGTGGGAGGGCGGATGAAAACGTTGCTCAGGATCGCTCCTTACCTTTTGAATTCCGTGCAGGATGAGAGAGAACAGTCCCCGAGCGCGTAGCCAGCCTGCCGTCGCGTCTTTACGCGTGCCTGCGCTGCGCGGCGTCTCGGACACCGCGTTGTCGGCACGCCGAGCAGCAGACCAGAGCGTGCACATCAATATACCCGAACAAAACCCTGCGAGTAAACTACTTTCTGTTTTGCAGACCTCTTCTACACGTATACCAGGCACTGTTATTCCCCCTCCCTTGGTCCGTGGAGGGCAGCAGACATCTTCAAAATTAGGAACTCAGCAAAACACGCAGATAGTAATGCCACCTCTTGTCAGAGGAGCACAGGTAAGTGCTTACCGTGCGGTAGAGCCGCTCTGGTTCTCCTTACTGCATCTTAGCTGTTTTCTTAGTCATCTTTCTGCTCGTGGGGAGGGAACCTGTGAAGTTCTTGCTGGAATTTCTGGATATGGCTAGGTGTATTGACCCGGCGTCATTCCAGTTTTGCATGTTGTGCTGTCCCACAGCGCTTCCAGGGAAGCGTAAGAAAATCCTGTGGTGATGCAGGATGCTCTTACCTGCAAGGCTGCTTCCCGTAGCTGCACCAAAGCAGTTTGCTTGCCATTGTTACGAAAGTTAATTTACAGGCTCCCAGCTTCACCCGCTTTTTAGGAGAGCGGCAGCAGAGGAAACAAACCACAATCCCTCCTTCTTCCATTTTTACCCCTCATTATTCTTTCTGTCATATCAATTTCACCTTTTCAAATGGTAAAACTCACTTTTTTTTTTTTTTTCCCCCCTCATTGTATCTGTCTGGTGATTGACTAAGAGCTGCTGAAATGAGATAGTCAACTGGGAGTCTGAAAGTGCTGCTTTGCGGAGTCTTTGTCACCTGTAACAGCAAACAGTGGTGTCACTAAAGGAGTAGGGAAGCAATGTTCCGTTTGATATGGTCTCCTAAAATTGACTTCCGTGGGCTACTGGGAAAAAAATATTTCCCTGTTAAGTGGGGATTTATTTTGCCATGAAAGGTCTGCGTTTATCTGTTGCATAGGCAGCATTAAGGAGGAAGGCAGAGATTGGATATTCCATTTTCTTTCTGTTCTGATTATGGAGAAAACCTCATTCTGAGCAAGAGCTTTCCTAATGCCTTTAAAACGAGACAGGCTTAACAGCTCTACATTTTGAAAGAAATTTGACTGGGAAACTTGGATTTTTGGCACAGCTGTTTTGGCCGTAACGCGATGGCCTCACATACAAGCATCTCTCTTCGCGTTACGTTCCACTTGTTTCATTTGGACAGAGGGAAAGGGAAAAAACATCACAGATGTTAATTATGTTAATTATCACACTTTCTTTGCGTTCCCTGCCTTGCCTCATTTCCACTGTCTCGTGTCACCCCATCCGACTCCCACCGCTGACTTCCCGCTATCTGTCCCTCCCCATCGTTCATGGCACCATTGCATCAGCCCATTTCTGTGTCTTCCCAGCAAATCCACAACATCCGACAGCACTCCAGCACGGGGCCGCCTCCGCTGCTGCTGGCACCGCGGGCATCGGTCCCCAGCGTACAAATTCAGGGACAGCGAATTATCCAGCAGGGCCTGATCCGCGTCGCCAACGTCCCCAACACCAGCCTGCTTGTCAACATCCCGCAGGTGAGTTCCAGAAGGTGTTTCGTGCCAAGTGCAACGTTCATCTTGGAAAAACAGGGGTGAACGGTTGTAATTACTGGTTGTCTGGTTACTGAATCTAATTGGGGTGGGCTGCTGTCCTCTAACTGGTGCAGTTGCTTTCGGCTGCTCCTTGTTCTTCCCCTGCAGTCCCTTCCTCTGTTCCCATTCTCCTCCTCTACATAGGAATGAAGAATTACGGAATATTGGAAGGAAATAAATATTTCAGTGAACTGCACGTTGCGTTCATTTCACTTTTGGTGTCGATAAGAAGCCGTCCATTAGAATATTTCTTTTTTTTTTTTTTTCCCCTCTTCCTTAAGAAGTGAAAATGAGTGTTCTGGTAAACAGAGATAAAAATGGGCCAGTGCTCCTGTTTGAAACAGCGAGAGATACTGAAGCAGCAACTTAACATCTCGCACGGATATTGTCATACGAGTGGTGCAGATAAAGGGAACAATTTGAAGTCAGTGCTTTGACAAAATCATAAGGAAAAGGACTCCTTTTTGGTCTTTTCCTTTAGAATTTCTAAAACTGCCTTATAAAAATGATCAGTAAAGAAAAAAGTTCTGTAGAAGAAGGTTCAGTATTAGGTGATGGGTGCAGCGTTGCAGTGAACATCTGTATCGTGATCTGTTCCGTCACGGTGCAGAAACAGGATTTAGAGGGAAGTGGTTCAGTCCAGTCCCAGCAGCAGCCTTCACCGCCCACAACCAGCCCCGCGCAGCGTCGGAGCCAGCGCCGCTTCCTCCCTCTGGGCCCTCCCGGTGGAGAGGAGCGCGTGTCGCTCAGCCGTGTCCTGTTTCCTCCCAGGCATCACCAGCTTCCATCAAAGGTACCACCGTGACGTCCGCTCAGGCCAACGCCACCACCACCAGCGCCGCTTCCATCGTCAACTCCAACGACTCGCCGGCCAGCCGGCAAGCCGCCGCCAAGCTCGCCTTGCGCAAGCAGCTGGAGAAGACGCTGCTGGAGATCCCTCCTCCCAAGCCACCTGCTCCAGAGATGAACTTCCTGCCAAGCGCAGCCAATAACGAATTTATTTACTTAGTCGGATTGGAAGAAGTTGTGCAGAATTTGCTGGAAACTCAAGGTGAGATAGAGTTACAAGTGTTCCTCAAAGGCCAGGAGACTTCTCCCATCTGGACTTTATCTCAGTAGCAGGCAGCAAAGAGTTTAAGGCTTCACAGGATTAAATAGTCATACTCTGTCAAATCTAGGATTCACTTCCCATAAGAATTGTCAAACTGGTTTATTCAAAATTCTAAAAAACATCTTTAAAAAAAAAAAAAAAAGGTTATGATTTCTCGTAGGCTAGACACTGATTGTAAAGACTTCTCTCAAATGCATCCAGTTTTCCCCAGAGCTGTTGACTTCCTATCGGCCACTTGATTGTCCATCACCACTAAATTCTATAACCAGTATCTAAAGAAGTATCTGCTGGACACGTACTCACACACTGGCTGAAGTGAAGGCTGTAAAGATTTAGTAATGCCAAAGGCTTCAGACTGAGGGGAGTGAAGGGTGGAGGGTTTGCTTTGGTGGTTTTTTGGTTTTATGCTGGAATATTCTTGAGATTTCTCAAGTATTATTCGTCCGTAGAAGCCAGAGGTGGAGCTGGGCTAAGCTGGTTGTGTTCTCCAGGTAAAGTTTCGGTCGCCGTATCGTCTCGCGAGCCCTACATGTGTGCTCAGTGTAAGACTGACTTCACCTGCCGCTGGAGGGAGGAGAAGAACGGAACCATTATGTGTGAAACCTGCATGACATCGAATCAGAAAAAGGCCTTGAAAGCTGAGCACACGAACCGACTGAAGGCTGCCTTCGTGAAAGCTCTGCAGCAGGAGCAGGAGATCGAGCAGAGGATACTGCAGCAGACGGCGTCTCCCGTCCAGACCAAGTCAGACCCTATCGGGCAGCACCACTCGCTCAAGCAGGTACGGCGCCGGGCACCACAGCCGGGTCTTGGTGGTGATGGGGCGAGGGTTCCGCGGCCCCGAGCGCCGGTGCTCGGCGTGCAGGCAAGAAACTGATGGGTGAACTTGGCTTTATGGAAACTCCACGGTTCGTGAGGTTAAAACTGGGCTGGTTAAAGAGGGTTTTGTCGTGTGGGGAAGCATAAGTTATGTTCTCTGTACCTGAAGAACAGGAGAGAGTGGTGGTGTCATTACCCAGGGTGTTGAACTCGTGTCCTGCAAAAGCTGTGCCTGAATTTTTTTAGGATGTACCACATGAAAAGTGCCAAAGACACAAAAGTAAATTGACCTAAGATGGGGGGAAAAAAAAAAAAAAACAAAATTGACTTGAGCCAGGAACACGTAACGTTGCTTGTGAAGGTTTCAGGTGATGGTAGCAACCATCCATGACGGGGGCTGGATCTCACACACCTCGTGAAACCACCGTTCAGCTGGGGGGGGAAGGTGGAGGCTGCCAAAGTGCTGCTTTGAGTTGGAATCATCGAGGTGCTGGTTATTGAGGACGGGGAAGTAGTGTTGCCTGTGTATGAAGATGCTTACCCAGCACGTTTTGTGCTGCTTTGCAGTTGGTTATAATTCCTCATCCTTACAGATGCTTTCAGAAGTAGAAACCTGATTCTTAATTCCTCATAGAGATGTCTTAGAAGTTTTCAGCCCTGAGACTATAGCAATGCATTCCAGACTTGGCAGAAGAAGCCAAGAAAGGAGAGAGGGGCAGCAGGGATTCCTCGAGGCTGTTGTACTGGAGAGCCAGAAGACTCCTATGCTCTGACCATTTGCTCTCTTCCCAGACTTCTAGCCAGATGTCTCGAGGTCCTGGGGCTCCGCGAGGCGTGCTGCATGCATTTAGCCAGTCCCCCAAGTTGCAGAATGCCTCGTCTGCAGCAGCACTTGGGAGCAGGCCAGGTAAGCATGCTGAGAGACCTGTCAGCAAGGGCAGCGCTGCCGCCTGGAAGAAGACTCCCATCAACACAGGTAGATTTTTCTCTCAAGTTTCTTTTCTTTGTACTTACTAGCGGCACTCTGCCCGACAATGGTAGTTCTTTGGGTAAGGATGCTTTCTCTCTGGCACTTCCTGCGTGAAAGCCCCATGGTGGCGAGGCTTTCCTCGTAGTATTTTTGTTGGCACTTGCTTCTGGTGTCATTTATGCTGCATCAAGAGGAGCGTGGCCAGCAGGTCAAGGGAGGTGATTCTCCCCCTCTACTCTGCCCTCGTGAGACCTCACTTGGAGTACTGCGTCCAGTTCTGGAGTCCCCAACATAAGAAGGACATGGACCAGTTGGAGAGGGTCCAGAGGAGGGCCACGAAGATGATAAGAGGGCTGGAGCCCCTTTCCTATGAAGACAGGCTGAAAGAGTTGGGGCTGTTCAGCCTGGAGAAGAGGAGGCTCCGGGGTGACCTTATAGCGGTCTTCCAGTACCTCAAGGGGGCCTACAGGAAAGATGGGGAGAGGCTGTTCAGGAGGGCCAGTTATGATAGGACAAGGGGTAATGGTTTTAAAATAGAGGGAGGTAGGTTCAGGTTGGATATTAGGAAAAAATTTTTTACTATGAGAGTGGTAGAACACTGGAACAGGTTGCCCAGAGAGGTGGTGGATGCTCCATCCCTGGAGACGTTCAAGGCCAGGTTGGACAAGGCCCTGAGCAACCTGATCTAGTTGGAGATATCCCTGTTCTTTGCAGGGGGGTTGGACTAGATGACCTTTGAAGGTCCCTTCCAGCCCTAACCATTCTATGATTCTATGATTCTATGCTCATGGGAAGGGGCCATCAGGTGGTGCTACCAGATAAAAACTACTGCTTTACACACTTGCAGATAGACTAAGTAGGTGTAATGTCAGACTGTTCGTCCTCGAGTCCATACCACGCTGCAGGAGTTGGTCGTTCGGTTCTGGGATTTTAGTTTAGTCCTTTGACTGGTTTTTTCTCCTTGCTGGAAGCAACATACAACGGAACTCCCAGCGTTCCTCAGGATTTGAAATAACTAAAGCTGTTGCTTCGAGCAAATGGAAATTATAAATTCTAATCTAATCTTTTTTTTATACACAAGAATCTGACTTGAAGAGTCATTTGTTTTCTTAAATGATGATTAGGATCTCCAGGAAGGAAACAGTGTAGCAACCAACTCCTTTGTGATCTGATTTCTTGCCCAGTATTGAATGGATTTCTTTTGATATTATTTTTTTATTCCTGACAGCTTAATTTATCTTTTAAAATGTGATTTCATTGCAGAGAGCTCTAGCCTGCTCAAATCTTCATTTCTGGTACAAAATCTTGCTCCTCTTTGTTGGGATGATTTTGGGAGCTTTCATCTTCTGAAGGTGTCTGCCCTTCGTGGCCAATAGTGCCCAGCTGATCCGTTTTCATGCAGATTTAACGGGAATAGTGTGTTTTTGCCACTGTTTTGTATCATGTTGGTACCACGCCGTGACACTTGTTCTCTTTTCTCTTTTATGTCTTGTCAGGTGGGGCTTTACCTTTTGTTAATCCTAGTTTAGCTGTGCACAAGTCATCTTCAGCAGTAGACCGCCAGCGTGAATATCTCCTGGATATGATTCCCCCACGGTCCATCCCACAGTCCGCCACGTGGAAATAATGCAGAGGAACGCCCGAGAGGAAGACTTTCCTGTTTCTGCCATCCTTTTTATACCACATTACAGTGGAATCTGCTTTAATCCCAGCTGGAAACGCCCCAGGCTTTATAGGATGCAAGAAGACCACTCCTCATCCCATCGAGTGCTGCTGTCCCTGCTACGAGAAAATGACACCACGTGGGTGGGAAAGACTTAAGCTCATTTGGTTCTCAGATTCTTATGATTGACTGATGATGAAGGCTGTCAGGGAAGGGGAAGAATTCTTAATATTTTTTTTTTTTTTTTGGCTTTTATGTCTTTAGTTTGGAGGTTTTTTTTTTGTCACCAGCACAAAAGGAGGACTGAGCGACTCTCTGCCTTCGGTTTCTTTATGACTAACCACCCATTCTCCAGGAACGCGGTGTTCGCTCGCGATCCAGCGGGGATGTCAGTTCAAGGAATCTCCACCCGGTCTTGCAGATGCATTTAGTGAGCCGAGTTCGTGTTTGCTTTTCTTCCCTGCCCCTCCTCCAGCCAGGAAGGCAGTCTACAGATTATAATGTTCCCAAATCTTCTTCTGATGAGCTAATGATAAATAAGTGCAAACTCAAATTCCAGTTGAGTACGTTTTGTTTGTTGTTTTGTTGTTTGTTGGTTTTGGTTTTTTTTTCCTGAGGGACTGGCTGCCACCAAAACTTGTCTGGTAGGTGGGAACCAGTGCAGGAGTCTCTCACTTTTGTTGGATTCTGTTTTGAATAGACTTTGAACTGTTGGTAGTCTAAAATCTTAATTTACTGAATAGACAAAACACCTTTGTTCAGTCGTTCTAATTCAGCGAAGAGCAGTTGGGCCTTTCGTGTGTTCCCAGAGACTTAAAAGTGAAACTGTTTTTGATTATTTTCTTTTTGGAGGGTTTTTTGTTGTTGTTGTTTTGAGCAATTTTACTCAAAAAAAAAAAAAAAAAAAAAAAAAAAGGAATTCCAGAAGCTGCACGCAATCAGAAAGGGGGAGCGGAGGAGCGGGAGGCTCCGTGCTCTGCCGACGCCGCCGAGGAGCCGCCGTGCCTGGTGGCCCACCGACCATGCCGGCACGTCGGGGGCAGGACCTCCAGCCTTGATCCCTCTGGAGCTCCGTTCTTCCAGGCGAACCAAGCACGCTCCGCTGTCCATCGCTTCAGTGTTTCATCATCTTTGATAGAGCTTTAGGTCACGCTGCTTTAAGGCCAGGTTAATATATTGTGGGGATTCCCCAGGTTAAACCCAAATCCATCAGGTCCAGTTTGGTTTGGTTTTTTTTTTTTTTGAAGTTCTCGACATCTTCCCTCCTTCTTCCCTGTGCTTCTCCCAAATTCAAGTTGAATTCAAGCGGCAGAAATACATGCCTTACTACTTAACGTTGCATATCAGTGCTAGAAGTAGTGCTGATAAGAATTATTTGCAAAATTATATATATATATCTATATATCTATATATAAAAGAAAAGGGGGAGGGGTTACTACTCGGTCTATGCTGAATCTATTTTCTTAGCAGTTGCTGTTAGATCCAACTTCAAACCAGTAACTTATAGGGTCGTCCCCCCTCGGATCTAACTTGCCTAGTGGGAAAGCAAACTGGTTCATTTTAGCCCCTCTTCTGTTGTGTGAGTATCAGTATTTAGATACTTTGAAAGCTGTTCCGTAGTGTAGACAGCCTAGTTTTGAAAAAGGGTATTTGTTGCTGTATAAAGCCCTAGAGTTTCAATTTGACTTCAGTTTTTTGTTGGTTTGTTTTACAAATGTATATTAAGAGCTAAATGGGATGAGAGGAATTGAGTTTTTAATTTTTCTTTTCATTCCAAGGTCTTTTGGATTGGGAGATGTGGAGAGAGAAATTGAGTGCGTTTTATTTTTGCACTTTGAAATATTATGAAAAAGTTTCAGTTCCTTACCTGCGTGGAGGTTTTTGGGGTTTTTTTTTTTTCTTTCTCCTGACAAACGCCTGCGTTATCTCCTCAGCGATGCGATGGCTCGCGCTGCTCCATCCCCCGGGAAGAGTGCATTTGTTTGAAAAGGAAAAAGCAAAACTTCTCAAACTAAAATCCAAATGCCTTTTGGGGAAGCCTGGACAACTTCACCATTTCCCTCCAGCGTTGGGGTAGCTTTAGCTTCCGCTGAGGCTGGAAAAAAAGGGGAATGGAAGGAGGGGCAGAACTGTTAAACTTGCCTGTTTTAAAAGCGATGTCAAAACCTTTTTTGGATACCACCAGTTCAGTACAGCAGCTTGTAAATCCTAATTTCAGCACAGTGGATAGGGGAGACTTAAAATAAGCCTTAAAATAATTGAGAAGACTTATTTTAAGATTGGGAACTGAGAATAAAAATGAATCTGTCTATACTATCTTACAAACTCCCTCAGCAATGCTAGACTGCAGTCTGGTTTGGTTTAACGTGGAATAAACCCCCACAAACACGTGAAGTGTCAGGGCAGAATTCTTTTGAGGGCTTTCTGAGTGAGCAGAAAACACGACACGGGTGTCAGGCTGTTGGGATTCAACTGAGTTTTGACACTGGCTTCAGTCTGTGGTTCTTGGAGTGTTGCAGGTGGCTTAGAGGATATACTTATTGCACACGTGTTTCTGCAGAGTTCTAGCTAAACGCACCAGGAGAAGGTTGAGGTGGTGCCCGTGGGGTAAATGCCAGAAGAATTGCTGCTCCCGTTGTAGTCAGAACTGCAGGTTGGGTTGAGCAGGGTTGAACTGGGCTGGTGAAGGTTCCAGCTTAGGTTTAGAGAGTTGTCACAACACTTGCTGCAGTCTTTCCACATCTCCTCCTCCCCGTCTGTACGTTCCTCTTCTTGCAGAAAAAAAAAGAATTAAAAAAAACACCTGAAAAACCAACAAACAAACAGAAAAGCTCAATTAGATGGAACAGCCACGTAAGGGCGTTACGCCCTAAAGGTTAAATCGTTTGGGAATTGTGAGGAGGGGGGTCAGACACGCCGTTGGGAACAAATCTTTGGTTCATTTCTGCCGCCGCCGCGTCTGGGATTTCCGCCTCCGAAAGGGCTATGGGTGCTGCCGCAGGGCTGGCCGACAGCCACCTCCTCGGCCCCCTCCTGGAAAAAAAGACCCTTTTCCTTCCAGCTCCCCCAGAACCAGAGACTGACCGTGCTGCTCGACAGCCTGGCTGTAACCCGGCACCGTTCCGGTGGAGCATCCGTTGCCCCGAGCCTCCCTCTGCTTCGCTGCCAACTGCTGCATGAGCTGGTTTGACATCGCCCGGGCGCTGCTTTCGTGCCCCTCTCCTGGGGAGAGGGCCGGGCAGCGCTGGTTCTCGCAAGCCATATAACCTTTTCTTCGAGACGTTGCGACTCCGAGATTTTATAATACGGTAATAATGAGAACGACTATTGTACTTAGATTTTAGCAACTTGTGAAATAAAACCCCGGATTTTCATTTGAAACCCGTGTTGCAATTTGGGAGCTGTGTGGTTCTGTTATTGATTTGATTTTATTTTTTTTATATATATATATATACACCCTAATTTATTACCCGTTCGGTTTCTGAGCGTTGGCGAGGTTGCAGCCCTTTGCTCAGAAACGCGACGAGGGGTCTGCTTGAACCTTGGTGGCTTTTCCAGTTCCTGGAAAAAGGGTGAATTTGCTAATTTTTGTA